ACTTGCTATTTCCAAGCTGGGGATTAGTTTCTTGTTGTAGGCCTAAGAGATATCAGCCAAGACAAAGGAATTATTTTGATATGAAAAAATCCCCTCCCTAGTACAGCCTCACAATACATTACAAATAGGACATAGTATAGATATATTATATAACGTACATCTTATCAATAAACTTTCCTGAAAAAGTATTAGGAAGTATCACAGGTGAAGCAGGAGATTCATCAATAGTTAGAGCATTCCTCAGCTTTTCAGGGCTGGCATTTATGTGGTTAAAATGTATATTCTGTTCACATTGTTATGTGTACTGAAGCATCCTCACAGCCCTGCTGTTACGAGATAAAGTTCTAGCAGAGGCTAAATTTGTCTTGCATCCTATCAGGCCACAAAGAATAAAAGAACTGAAGGCTCTATTTCTTTGATTTTTCAGCAGTACTGAATATTTTCCATGATCAGCTCCCTAGTAAGGTTTCTCTGTTTTGAAAACTAATCATTAATATGAACTAGCACAATCTCTCATTCATCAAATCTCATGTTGCCTGCTAAGAATGTGGCTTATGTTTGAAGCTGAAGGTTGCACCTGAGGCCTCAAGCCTTTGAAAGGTCAGAATACACAACTTCCTGCATTAATGGATTACAAGTTGTGGAGACTTAAATAAACCAAGAAAATATACAAATCTGATGTAGCAGCTGGACAGTTCCCCCACCTTATAATAAATAAAAGTTTTAAGATGTCAGGCTTAAACTATTATTATTCATATTGCTTCTGCAAGGAATACTACAGTACATTGTTAAATTACTATTTAATAATTTAAAGTGTTTTTTAAAATATTAATTTTACAGTTGCAAAAATACCAACACAAAAGAATTAATGACATATTATTGGATTCTGCCAATGCTTAATTGAAAATACTAAAGTAGGGACTAAAAGAAAGCAAAAAGTTCAAAGAATCTTGAGGTTTCATAGTGCAAAGGAAGAATTTGATCTTCATGTCTCATTTTTGTTTTAGAAACTGCACACCATATGCAACAATTATTGTCCATATGGCAGAGCTGACAATGAAAGTATCAGTGCAATTAAAAATTGGTTAGCTTTGAACAATATCTCAGTGTTTGCCATAAAAATGTAATAAAACATCACTTGGACTTCAAGTGTATTAGGAAAAGGAATATCTTGATTGTGAGATCAAGAAGGTGGTGGCATCACAACTCCAGTTAGATTTGTATACAGTATTGATAATCTGTATTCATTTCAATAACTTATGGATGGAACTGTTTTGATTGTCTTGGTTAAAAATTTACGAAAGGAAGTAGATAATGCAAGTGCAGCCCTATTAATTCTTCTGGATGCTCAGAGGTTTTTGTATTATTAGCCCTGATATCTGTCTTGATCACCTAGCAGAGTTAGATCTATATAGCAGCAACAGTTTCAGTCCTACTGAATCATGTCTGGCATACTGGGAGATTGTTTGATACCATATCCTTTGACATCCTACAGGGTTCAGTTTTGGCCCAATTATTATTTAAAAACAAGCTGTTGGATAAGTAATTGGGAACTGTAAAGTGAGATCGCACCAGTGTATTGATGACACCGAACAATAATGCCAAAAACATGGTTGATAATCTGAATGCTCAATAAAGTTTACTCATGAATTAGGATTTAACCAATTCTGGACTAGATACCTTAGGATGCCCCCCATCTCTAGTTTCTGAGCACCTAGGAGTGAATTTATGTTCAGTGCACTAGTTTCAACCTTTTCTAGGCTTAGCTGACCATTATCCTGCCCCTGGTTACATCATATTTAGACATTTGCAATACATATTATATAGGACTATCATTTAAAGAGCCTCTGGAAGCTTCAACTAATGCAAAATGCAGCTAGATTTACGCTACTGAGATCATAATCCAATAACACTGGAAAAATATGTGCTGGTTGCTAATTGTTTTCTGGGCTCATTTCAAGATTTAAATCTTTAAAGGATGAATAGCTTAGGGACTGAGTAAGAGTATGCTTGTTTTAGAATGGATGTGTCTGATTTAAATCTATAGCAGAACCATCACCTCTTAAAACAGATGCAGAAAAAAATACTTTAAATTCTACAAGTTGCAATCAAAATTAAAGTTACAAAGGATAACATCAAGCAGTGTTGAAAATGCAATTAAACTAAACAATCTATTGCTTATCTAAACTAGTAATATTTCTTCAGGACAAAATTCCACAGTCTGGGTCCTGCTTGCAAAAGAAGCCCCACCCCAAATACCCACCATTTTCAGGGACCAGTTGAACAAAAGGTCCTGTAATGAAGATCCATCAGTTCAATGAGCTACCTGCCTTTACTTTCATCTTCATCATCGGAGTAAAACTTCTCAAAGGTGGGCAGTCTGCTATTTCTCAACTAGTCATCTACCTAATCAAAATATAATAGTAATAGAAAGGTGATTCTGTATTTGAAGTGCACCTATTAACCCAAGGAAAGATGTTAGCACAAAACAAACTATGTCCTGCCTACTTTTTATTCAGTCTTCTTGCACTTTGGCAGTAATGATGGAACCTAGAACTTTTCTCCCTATGCTATCGAAAGGTGCCCTGCTCACTGCCTGCCACTTCTACAGTATGCATATATGGAGTTGCTTCTCAGCATTAGCTTCTTCCTTATCACCCCTCAATTCTAACTGCTTTTTTTAATATTCCGGTGCTCGGATCCCGCCAATCCACTTCATCAGGCTGATCCACTAACACACCTCCCATCCAATATGGCCGCTCCACCAAACAGGACCGAAACACACTCGAACAAATTGTCGCTTTGCTCCGCCCCCCCGTGATCCTATTGGCTTGTTCTATTCGAAACTCTGTCGCCATTGGGCGCGCCCGCTGTCGTTCTTTCTGACTAGCGGCCTCTCTCAAGTTAGAATGACGCGACATGTAAACAAATCACTTTCTGGAGGTTCCGAACTAATCAGAACTCCGCCGGCCCACGCCCGTCCCGAAGCAAACGAGGGGGAAGAGAGCCGGGCAGCCCT